TATATTTATTAATAGAATAATTATATTATTAATTAAAAAGGTTAAAAAAGTTAAAATAAATAGTCTACTTAACTATATAGCCTACTTAAGTATAATATATATTATATTATTTTAAATTAAAATAATATATTTAATAGAAAGAGATATATTTTATTTTATTACTTTAAGTATAAGGATAAGTTAACTTTCTTTAGAAAGTATTTTTATATTTATTAATAAAATAATTATATTATTACTTAAATTAATTAAAAAGGTTTTAGTAAGTAGCCTACTTACTTATATAGCCTACTTACGTATTATATATATTATCTAATAAGTATTTTCATTAATCTCCCTAATTAAATTCATTAGAGTCTTATATATACTTCTTTATATCGACCTTAGTCATAGTTCTTCCAGTGAGTTATCTTCATAAGTATACTACCGCATAGTTGAATATCCAGATCCCTCCTCACTATATCGCACTCTGACTGAACCTCGCGTCATTCCAACATTTCGCTCGCATCAATATGTCGAATTCGCACTCGACACCGATTAAGGTGTCGCCCTCGGCGGCAGTCCACTCTGCTGCAACTCTTGACCCAGACCTTAGATCTCAGATCAATACGCTTCTCCTGAAAGAAGGTCACGTCGAAAAGTGTGACATTCCTCCTGTCATATCTCCTACGTCTGCTGACAACCTCAAAGGATACAGGATGCGCTCCTGCATTCATTGAATGCTAACCAGACAAATTGGCCCACACAAATCCAGTCGCACGCTACGACACTCCTGCGCTCTGGCGACGTCACAACCTTTCCGGCCCTTCTGCGACGTGTACTTGACGACGTTCGTCACGACACGCTCGCACGGCCTCTCGAAGCAAATCAGAAGACGAACGGCAGCAAGACCAACGGTACAGCTGCCACTGACACTACACTCAATCTATCCATCCCTGCCGCCGTGACAGACGACATGCTAAAAATCGTGCGCGAGAGCCTGGAGGCTGTCTGTGAAATTGAGGAGAGCAACGGGAGATGAAGCTCTAAACATCCCCGGTTCTTTTCGCATCCTGTCTGCTTTCCACTACCGCTCCCGAATCCATCATCCATACATACCTACGCCATTACCAATAGCCGCCTCGAGTCTCGTGGATTCAACTGGACGACTTCGTTATAGGAGATAACATCATAGGCCTACATGAGTTGTAATGCAGCAACTCGAAGTCAGAATCACAATATCAAACGTACCAGAAATCGTACCACGCGTACATTCAAACCCGCGCTTTTTTTTTTTTGCAAGCTAAGGGAGAACTATGCCCGGAAATGGAAAAGCAGCATCGGAAACATGTTTGTTTCAAGCCCCTGGGCAAGTTCTAGCCCCCTGTGCTTGTCATCCTTTCGCTGTACTGCATTTTAAAGCAACCAGTCGTGGTTGAAGGGCCGGAATTAGTCGGCTTGGAGCCTCGAGGTCGCCCATAGTAAAGTTCTGGGCCTGGCCGGCTAGTCCAGGCTATCATCAGTTCTGCAAGGATGCCGACGAATGCCTCAGTATCGCCGGATCGATGAACTGCAGTAGATCTACCTGTCTATCAATCAATTGACTTGTCCTTCGTATCCGGCCCAGAGAGTGACGTCACCGTGCCCCTGGTCGCCAGCGGCAATCGTGCGGCTACACCCATCCATGTTTAAGACTGCAAAAGAAAACTAGAATACAATCTGGTTTGTTCCCGCGATGCGGAATGCCATCTTTAATCATAAAGATCGTCGTCGTTACCGGCATCGCCAAAGCTGTTTCCAGCGCCACCAGCGTTCGCACCAGGATCCCCCTCAGGGAACTGGAAGAACGCCCCAGGCCCAGCGTTCTTCATTTGCTGGTTGAATGCCTCGTAGCGACGTATTTCGACGTCAGTCACAGACTTCCGCGCAAGCTGCATGGCCTCAGCAAAGTGACGCTTAGTAAGCTCGGGAACCGGGTCTTCCGCATCCTCATCCATCGCCTCCTCGCCAGCAGCCTCTCGCGCTTTCACACGCTCTATGTCGAAAGCGATAGACTCCTTGATGGCGATCTTGACAGCGCGCTGAGTAATGAAACCAAGATCAGCACCAGAGAAGCCGTGCGTCTTTGATGCGATGTAGTTGAGATTAACATCTGCGGCGACGGGCGTCTTGCGGAGCTGAGCTGAGAGAATCCCAAGCCTACCCTCTTCATCGGGCAGAGGCACGTAGATAAGCGAATCAAGACGCCCAGGACGGCAAAGAGCCGGGTCGAGCTGCTCAGGCCTGTTCGTGGCACCGATGACAAAAACGTTCTTCTTTGAAGTCATGCCATCCATTTCTGTATTTGATTAATCAGTGTTCAAAATTTTGAGCAGTCAGATCACTTACCTGTAAGAAGTTGGTTGACAACACGATCAGAAGCACCACCCGCATCCCCAACAGAGCCTCCACGGGCCTTGGCGATGGAGTCAAGCTCGTCAAGGAAAACAACGCAAGGGGCAGCAGCGCGAGCCTTGTCGAATATGTCGCGGATATTGCTTTCAGATTCGCCGAACCACATGCTCAGAAGTTCCGGACCCTTGACGGAAATGAAGTTGGCAGCGCACTCGTTGGCAACAGCCTTAGCCAACATCGTCTTACCAGTACCAGGGGGACCGTAGAAAAGAACACCTCGTGATGGGGAAAGACCAAACTTGAGGAACATCTCGGGGTGATCCACAGGGTACTGGACGCTCTCCTTGAGATCTTGTTTGACGCTTTCAAGACCGCCGATATCCTCCCAACGAACATTGGGTACCTCCACAACAGCGACCTCGCGCAGAGCAGAGGGGTTAGAGACCCCGAGTGCGAAGCGGAAGTTTTCCATAGTGACGCCCAGAGAGTCGAGAACTTCAGCATCAATTGTATCCTCGTCGAGGTCAATGAGATCCATTTTCTCACGAATCTGCTGCATGGCGGCCTCGGAACAAAGGGCAGCCACGTCAGAACCGACATAGCCGTGAGTTTCGGAGGCTATCTGCTCCAGATCAACGTCATCACCAAGTTTCATGTTCTTGGTGTGGATCTGAAGGATCTCAAGGCGACCAGTAGGGTCGGGAATGCCGATATCAACCTCGCGGTCGAAGCGGCCAAATCGCCGAAGGGCAGGGTCGATAGAGTTGGGGCGGTTGGTGGCGGCCATGACTACAACGTTCGAGCGAGCCTTCATGCCGTCCATTAGAGTCAACAGCTGAGAGACGACACGGCGCTCAACTTCTCCGTTCGTCTTCTCACGCTTGGGAGCGATGGAGTCGATCTCGTCGATAAAGATGATGGCGGGCGAATTTTTCTCAGCCTCCTCAAAAGCCTTGCGCAAGTTTGACTCCGATTCTCCAGCCATTTTGGACATGATCTCAGGGCCGTTGATCAGGAAAAAGAAAGCACCTGTCTCGTTGGCGACGGCTCGCGCCATGAGTGTCTTGCCTGTACCGGGAGGACCGTAAAGAAGCACACCACGGGGCGGCTTGATGCCGATGGACTTGAAAAGCTGGGGATGGCGGAGGGGCAGCTCGACCATTTCACGGATTTGAGCCATCTGCTTCCTGCAGCCACCGATGTCGTCATATCCAACCTCGTTCAGATTGTTCTCCTCCTCATCGCGCTCGATTGGATCGCCTTCGCAGTGAATGACGGTGTCTTGAGCTACAATGCCGTACTCGGGAGGATCGACTTCGACGACCTTGAATTCGACTTGTCTCATTCCACCACGGACAATGAAAAGATCTCCCTGGCGAACGGGCCGGTACGCCTCGCGGAAGTAGGGGGCGAGGAAAACGTCGAACAGCGAGCCGGTGATTCCCTCAACTGTGTCGGCGATGGGAAGGACTGCGATACGCTTGGCCTAAAAATGGAGTCAGATAATGCTCAGTGTCGACTCGTCTTCGAATACTAACGTATTTAATGTCAGGGCAAGGGTGAATAGTGATCATGTCACCGTGCTTGACGCGAAGGTTGTGGCGAACGACGCGGTTGATACGAGCGCTACCGTCATCCAGTTCGTCGTCTGCTAGCACAATCAAGACTGTGTCCTTGCGTTTCTTGCCGCGAACCAAAACAGTATCACCGCGGAAGAGCTGCAGTGCCTCCATGGTATTTTCAGAAAGGGCGATGATGGAGTTGTCATCGTTGACGGCATCCGTGACCCTGCATCTCGTCAGCCCGGCACTACCCTAACAATGACCGCAGCGCAGGCTTACATCAACTGGTTCACCTTCTTCTTCTTCTTGAGGATAGCAGTCGCGGTGTCATCTTCCTACATAGACATCAGCTTGTATTTTCATGCTTGAAGACCTTTCGGACAACGAACGTTCTTAACTTCTGCTCCAGATACATCCCTGGTACTCATTAGCAACATATTCATTCATTCAAGACAGCATGGCCAGTGGTTACACATGGTTGTGCCTTGGGGAAAGAGACTTACTGAAGGTTAACCTTCTTCTTGTGCTCCGGCTGGTCGGCCATGGTATAGGTTTGCTCGTGTCCGGGGGGTGGCTTTTGGTCGAGATCTTCGTGAACAGTGTTTGGTGAGGTTCTTGGCAGATTGGTGCGGATATCTCGATCCTGTGATATGTTGCAGAGAAGAGAGGGAAGGAGCTGTGGTTCTTCTTCCGATCTTTCGGTAACGGTGTTTGCAGAAGGGTTGTTGGGTTGGTTGCGGAAGGAAAGAGGGTTGATGAAGGGGTGCAGGATAGGTTGCAGAGAGAGCTGTCCACACTTCAGGTGGTGACTAGGCTCCGAGGTGACGGCGACTGCTGGGAGGCGCTAGATTGTGGGCCAATGAGATCATACGAAGGCGCGGAACAAGGTTGATGCAGCTGGGACCCGGATTATGTAAGACTCCAGAGATGCCGCAAGCTCCAATGGAATGGCGGTCGCAGAAGCTTCGAACGTATTCCACCCTTGCCCAAACATCCAGGCACCCGGCTGGCCACGCATGACGATACGCAGCTAGCACCTGCCTAGGTGCCTATCTATCGAAGTAGGTATCTACTAGTATGCTCCAGCTGTTTGCCGCTCGGTTCAGAGATCGAGATTGTTTTGCTAGAACGATCTAAACATTGATTTCATCAACTACCGTACGAGATACATTCAGGCTCATTCAGGCTCTAACGTGTGTCGAATTAATCGCCTCGTAAACCACCTGCTCTGTCCATCCAGGGGAGAGACACGCCATGGCTAGCCCCCAGTTCAAGCCAGAAGAGCAACAATGAGTTCAAGGCATGACCAGGTTCACGAAGGCTTCGCTCGCAAGCTCCTGGGCCACAGTGATAAAAACACGATTCCGAGTACGTAGCGTGTACACAACCCTCGGGCGCCGAGTAGCATTGCCATGCCGTGTGCCCTTCCTGCAAATCATATCTTGTGTTTTTTGTGATATGCTACAACATAACCATCAACGGTCTTCTTGCTATACCAAACCGAGCTCGACTTGGACCTCCACAACGAAACCTCATGTAAGGTAGGTTCTGAGTGCAACACCGCGGCTCAGCTGCGCTGGGCCTCTTATCGATAAGGAAAAGGAAAGTGCCATCTTTCTGTAGTGGCGGGGGACTACCAGTGCAGAAAGATTAAACACTTCCATTGCATCCTCAGCGCTTCTTGCCCCGGACCAATCCTATAATCCGCCGGCCTGTCCTCCTCAGTGTCTACAGCCATCGACCACCTTGCCTATGCGTTGGCCAGCTTCTCCAACTTGCACAGTACGCACTAGGTTACCACCTCGATCGCGGCACCTTATTCCCACCCGCCAAATTTACGATCCCTCCATCCACACCTACATCAGCCTGAAGACCTGATCGCCCGCCTAGCGTTCCAAAAACGACGTCTTGAATCCCAAAGCAGTAGCTTGAAGATCTCACTTGCTGGTCTGCCATCATTCCTGTTGTCGCCTAGCAGTTACAATGGACTTCATCGGCCTGCAGATGCTTGTAACTGTGAAGGACCCTCCCGGCGTTCGGGTTAAGGGCACTGTCAGCGAGGTCACACCTGGACAGAGTCTTGTGCTTAGCAATGGTATGTTTTGCGCCCTGCTCAGGCTATCCCCAAATCACTATCCCGCTAATCACTGCAGTTTTTCACCTTGGTTCGAGTAAATGGATACCGCGGTTAACTCTCGAACCGAACAATATCGTCGACCTGGCAGAGTATAAAGATGAGGTCACTCCCGAGACTTTCACGGCTCCAGGTGCGAGCTCCCTATCTGCACCAGTTCTCAGCCAAACCGCTCTACCTTCGTTCGCGGACCCTGCCATTGTCAGCCTTGGGCGCAGGCCGGGATCTGGCAGCCAAACCCCTGTGGAATCACGACCTCAATCTCGTTCTCAATCCCGCCCACAGTCCCGTCGACAGTCGCCTCCCATGGGAAATTCGGAAAGGTCACCAAGGCAGCCTGGTGTAGTGTCCATCCCCAGCATTGGCCATGTACAACGACGGGAGTCCACAAAAGCTAACTTGGCTACTGAGCTCGAAGACTTGAGAGTTGATGACGAGTCTCATCGCGAAGACCTGAAAGATTCTACTGCTGCAGGAACCGCAGATGCTCCGCTGCAGGCACCCAAGAAGAGGAATCGCAGGGCCAGACTAACCAAGGCTCTAAAGAACGGTGCAGCCGAAGATGCATCACTTGAAGCCTCCTCGCCGCAGGGCGGACGCGGTAAGGGTTGGCGGCAAACGCCCATGCTAAAAAGTACATCATCTTTCCAACCATTTAAAGCGCTGAAGCGTAACGGCAAGACTGGAAATGGTGTCCTGGATAATGGGTGGGCCTCTGAAGATGTCACGGAAGAGATGGGTGAATTCGACTTTGAGGGCGAGCTGGCCAAATTTGATAAGCAGACTATCTTCAATCAGATGCAGAAAGACGATCTCGTCGAAGAGAGCGATCGACTCGTCTCGCACAACCGCAAAGCTAAGCCTGGAACCGCCGGAGGAAAGAACTACCACCACACCGAGAATGTACTCGATATCACCGCCGCAACCCCCAGAATGGCCAACGATTTTTGGGATAGCGAGACAGATGATGCAGCTCTGGGACCCGAGAGGTTGAGCGGAAGGGATGTTAGAAGCAGTCAAAGCATGCGGCGGACGGATAGTAACAGACCTAATGCGGGTAAAAGGTCTCAGTCTCGGAAAGCGAGCGCTTCAGGGATCCCGCCTGCGAGTCGCGCCAACCCTGCTTCCCAGCCTGGTTTCTACCTGGTGCCGTCGCAGCGCAGAGCTGAACCAGTTTCAGCTTTGCAAATGCTCAACCTCGAGAATATCGCTGCGAACGAAATCGGCCTCACAGAGGATATGATGACCGAGAATGCTGGCCGCGGCATTGCTGAAGTGGCCGTGGCAGCGTTATGCGACCCTGCAATTCAGATCAGGCTGGGAGCCGGCGGCATAAGCGCCTCGGCGATAAGTCATACATCATCAATCATCGTGGTCCTTGCTGGAAACAACAAGTCAGGCATTCGTGCGGTCGCTGCCGCTCGCCACCTTAGCAACAAGGGGGTCAATGTTCTTGTTTGTGTTGTGGGCATTGAGCGAGAGCGTGATCTGCTCGAAGACATGCGCCAACAAGTTCGAATCTTCAAGAACCTTGGTGGCCGCATTCATAACAAGATTGAGCTCTTTGAGCAGTTGCGTAAAACGTCGCACTCATCTTCAGCAACGGTTACCCTAATCATAGACGCGCTGCTCGGGTTAGCAATCTCATTTGAGGAGCTGCGGACCGGCGACCAAGCCACTGTCTACGAGCTCATAGAGTGGGCAAACCGTAATGAAGCGTTCACTCTCGCCGTTGACGTTCCGACGGGCATCGATCCTTCGACTGGCAAAGTGAGCATCATTGATGGAGGGCGGCTATACGTCAAGCCCCGGTACGTCGTCGCCATGGGGGCGCCGAAGCGCGGACTTCTCGAAGCCATGGCCCCGCGTTTGCGTCCCAGCGAAGAAGGCAGTCCTGAGAGCCTCTCTGCTCCCGCGGCGGACAATGATGACTGGAAGCTCTTCATTGTTGACATTGGCCTCGGCGCAGCTATTTGGAAGAAGGCTGGAACAAAGCTTCGAAGAGGTATTGACTTCGACGATAAATGGGTGCTAGAGATGCGGTACCAGGGCGCTACTGGCCAAGGCGAAGAACCAGATTATTAAAATATCAGAAGCCCCATAAGTATACGGCTTGAGCTTCATGCTGTACTGCATGGTGCTTTGACGATGATCAGAGCGTGGGGAACCGGAGCGGGATAGAAAGAAATGCAACTACTGGACAGGGCATACTAGCCAAAGCGATCATCTTTTATGGTACATTCATAGCATTTACACCAGGGGCGCTCAATGCATTGAGATATTGGTTCACATCTTTCTATGATATCCCGCGACTGTGAATTACAGATGTTTGATGATAAACAACATTGGTCATCATCAGGCGCATCCGTTATACCTAAACTTGCAAGAATGCTTACGCGGCAAGAGTTCCATTGTCCCCGATCCTTCCATCCGTCTCCGATGTTACCATCATCAGAGCAGAATGCTGGCAACTACTAAGTATTTGAACTGAGTTTTGTACTGTGCCCACCTAGTCACATACCCAATGCAACAGCCGGCAGGAACACAAAGTAACGCCAACTATCATGCAAACCAAGTGACAAAAGAAAAGGAAAGCGTGTTAATGACCATAAGCCTCAGCCATGGCATCCTCGTCATCATCATCATCACCAAGAGTGATGGGTGCCCTTGCACTTCCCACCGCCCTTGGAATGGGCTTCTGGACAGGCCTGGTATTGGTCTGAAAAGTTGATCGGCTTGCAACCTCCTTGACCTTAGGAGCAGAGAAGATACTGGCCACGGTAACGGCAGGCTTCTTTGCCATCGCCTCATCGATGCTGTACAAGTTGTTGTAAAAATTGACGACCCGAGGATGAGCCATCACCTTGTGCTTCTCAAACCGCAGCACCTGTAGACCCTGTTGTCTAGTGGCTCGACTGAGAGCGACGTATGCCTGGCCCTTCTCGAATACCTTGCCAAGGTCGACCTTAACCCGTTCTAGTGTCTGCCCTTGTGCCTTGTGTATAGAAAGCGCCCAGGCCAGTATAAGTGGGATCTGTCGACGGCAGGCTTGGACTTCACCAGCGGCGTTCTCAACTTTGTACTCTTCACCGATGCAGAGTATGGTTCTGTGCGTACCGTCCGAAGCGGAGAACTCTACAACAGGATATTCCGTGGCACCCGTCCTGCTTTCCTCGAGTTCGCGGGTGAAGGCCTTGATCCTGTTCTGCACCCTCGCATCAGGGGCGCCCTCGTCGTCTGTTCCGAAGGCAGTGTCATTCTTTAGTTCGAACATGGACTCGGTCATGAAACCTCGGACCCTTCCAAGTGAACCGTTGACAAGCGTCTCATCCATATTCTTGACCAGCATCACTTGAGCTCCCACCTTCAGCTCAATGCTTTTGGGTGCCATGACATTCGCCAAAAGTTTCTCCCGAAGTTGTGGGTCGCCAGTCTCGTGCGCGTCGTACCGCTTAGCCTTGCCAGGGAGATTTCGTAGTCGAGTCTGGTTGGATCCTTCGACTTCCTGTCTTGTCGGGAAGAGCTCTGTTGTTTCCAAGTCGAGGTCATCGTCTGACATAATAGGTCTCGAGAGGGCCTTGAAGGCTCGTACCGTTTCGTCCGTGATGACGCCTAGGCGCATTTCGTTAAGCATGCCTGCAAAAACTTTTGCCCATCCGCGTTAGTCTGGGTTACTTCTCGGGGTGTAGCACATAGCCTACCTGGGTCTTTTTGGCGGAAGACCTGTGTGAGGCCAATTGTATGATCGATCGAGGTGTTCCAGGTGGCGGCATCGAAGGCGAACTTGGATTCCCTCTTCCCACCACCCGTATCCGGCACAGGCGGTAGCTGAAAAAAGTCGCCCGTAATGACTAGTTGAATGCCACCCCAGGGTCGACCATTGTTGCGAAGCTGCCTACCAATGGCTGACAGCTTGTCGAAAAGATCTCCATCTACCATTGAGACCTCGTCCAAGATCAATACCTTTGTCCTAAGCCAGCGATTCTTTGCCTTGGCATTCCTCCTGATCTTCTTGACGAGGACAGGAACTTCCTCCTTGCCAAGCCCTATGCCAGAAAAGCTGTGTAGTGTCTGGCCGCCAATATTGCAAGCTGCGAGGCCAGTTGAAGCGGTGACTGCCAATCGTTCCGGGTCCTTGGCGAACTTCTTTCTGAGCTCCGCAACAATTGATCGCATCAAAACCGATTTTCCAGTACCAGCTGGCCCGGTGAAGAAGACGCTTTCACCCTTGTTTACAACAAGGTCTTGCACGCGTTCCTGTTCTTTGCTGAGACTAATACCTCTGACACGCTCGGAGTCCATTGCCGTAACAGCACGCATTTCCTCCGTAGTATATCCTTCATTCGTCCCAGACCTCTTGAGAGTATCCTTGTGATGTTTCTTTTGAGCCTTGACGGCACTGGCAGTCGTATTCCAGGGCATGTGGTCTTTTGTCTTTCGCGCTGGGGTGGATTCGCCATGCAACCCAGGCTTGCTATCATCGCGAGGTTGCGATGTCCAGGTCCTGGGCAAACTCCGCTTCTTTGGAGGCGGCAACTCCGTGTCTCCGAGTGACGAGCGTTTGCTAGTTCTTGTACTAGACACAGTTTGGGTCAAAAGTGGATGGGACGGCAGCATATGAGAGGGCGGCGAAGAAGACCATGGAACAATATTTTCTGAGCGTGAAGAGAAAGGTACGGTAGTCTCATCGATTTCGTTTGAGGGCTTTTGGTTATTCGTCGGTGGGGGTGGGAGTAGCTTTGTAGGCTCTTGGTAATCGAGGTCGAGGTCTGTGTCGTCGCTAAAATCATCTTCAAAGAAGAGAACCTCTGTCGCAACAGCTGTTTTGGCTCGGCTGCCGATCTCGACAAGGTCATCTGGACTGTCTTGGAAAGAATCGGGTTGGTTGTATAAGGAGGCCATCGGAACTTTCGAAGGCGCTCTGGGGCGAGATGCTGTCAAGCTCGTTACTGAAGCGCCTTGTTGATTGGGAGTTGAAGACACTGCTGTATCGGATCTGTGACCTGGCTGACTCGTCCTTTTGAAAGAGTTTTGGATATTGGCATGTTGAATCGGGCTGCTCGATGGGAAAAGTTGTTTCGCTAAAGGGGGAATCCGAGGCTGTGGCGGCTTGGCCTCGAAAGCATTGTGAGCTCTTCCCAGCATTGTATCTGCAGCGCAGCTTGATTGAAGGCGACGCCAGGTGTGAGAATGAGTTGGGAGGTCAGGATTCAGGCGATGTTGGTTTTCGAGCAGCGCCAGCAAGAATCGACCGCGCAGCAGGCTGGGGGTGCCAGCCGTCATACACAGTTCAGTCCCAGGGGGGTCGATTCAAGTGGGTTTTCAGTGCCTAGGTAAGGAATATGGTTGGAGGAGGGAAGGCTCAAAGGAGGAGGATAAATTCTGGCAGCAGGAGTGGTAGAATCATGTGCTACAAACTCAGGAACCACGCTGGACCTGGAACCGTCGGTCTGGATCGAGATGTCGAAGAGGAGTGAAGTCGCGTGTCGTCGCGTCTTTGGGTGTGGGTACATCCCGCTCTCGCGTCGAGTGGATAAAGGCCAATGTTGTACTCTAGGGCCTCCTGTAGTACCTAAGTACCCCAGGTGTGACAAACACAACGTCCCACGCAAAAGCCCCTCCCCGACCTACCTTACCCAACCAGCAATACAGCCATATCATAGGCCTAAGAATCTGATGTGTTGGGAATACAGGATATCTCAGCAGCATCCTAACCAGCCAGTATATATTGAGAGACTTTAAGTATGCCGTTTTATTTGTTACCCGCTTAGTACCTATCCTACCTCAGCAACTTGGTTTACTAAGCAGCCCACCCCAACTGCCCTCCACACATACCTGGGTACGACAGGTTCTCTGCCTTGTCCATCTTCGAGTTCCCTCTCCGCTACGTTGAAGAGGGCGCCGACCCAAATCATGGCCTCAAGATCAATGATCACACACCTATGTATGCATATTACTCTCCTCAAATGGGTCTTGTAAAATTCGAGACTTTGACCCATAGAATCTGTCTTCTTAACGCTATAGCCGAATACCCATCAGGCCGACTAGAACCATGGCCACAGAACCGATCAGATGGCGCAAGGAGAGTACCAGCAAAGAGGTCAAACTCCAGTTCGCCTTGCAGCTCTGGTTCTCTGAAGAAGCGGTTACTGGAGTGGTCGCTAGCTCTCTATGAGAGGTGGTGGTCCTTGTGACTGGGGCGTGTTATTTATACTGACGAGACAGGAGAGAAAAAGCCAAATGGCGCAGCAGCTGGCCCGTCTCATCGAAAAGAAACCTTTTCGCCCAGATCATGCCGTTTCTAAGTCACAGATTGCATACTTCCTGTATACAGCCCCTTACCCCCCTTCCTACCCAAGTGAAATGCATCCGCGTACAACAGAACCGGTCGCGATAGCCTACTCTACTTTGCGAGTTCACAGGTTTGACGCAAGTTTCGATGATGATATCTCGCCATACAACGTCTAGTCGGCTGGATGGGTTGGCTGCTCGATTCTTTCCAACCGTCATTTTATCCCTTCGCGTTAGGTTGGTCTTTTGAGCGAGTTCACAGGGACTGACAACAGAATATACGAGGGTGTGTGACTACTATTGCCATCAAATTTTCATGTCTAGATTTAAGACATGTACTCTGTACAAGCCAACACTCATGACACAACCCTAAATATAGGGTACTCGTCCCCCCTCTCAACCGGCACAACATTGAAGCTGACGTAGGAGTCGATGTTCTCTGGCTCCAACGCAACAAAAGCAAGAGCAGCGTTCTTCTGCCGAGTGCTGATACGGAAGCTGCCGGCTGGCAGCGTCAGCTCTCTCTCACTTGTGCTAGTCGTGACGGTGGCACGGACGGCGCCCTCATAGTAACCGGATTCGAATTGCGAAGATTCGATCTGCAATGCCTCGACAGCTCCGGTCCACGACTCGGTAAGTGTCTCCACTTCTAGGCCTGCATCAACGAGGCGAGCAGCAAGATCCGCCCATGCAACCGGTATGAGGTAGGCTTCGGGACGAGAGCGAGTGAGATTGGCACGCGCCGGAGTGTTGGAGACGAACTCGATGGGCACCTGAACAATCTCGCCAGTGGTGTGGTCGACCATGGTGAATTCGCGATTCCTGGTGGTGGTGCTGTCGGTGAGAATGATATCGTCCGTGCCAGAGATGAAGGCAGCACGACCACCCTCGACCGTCTCATAGACTTTGTTGGCATTGTCAGCTGCCGTCTGAATAATGCTGCCTGCCATAGTGAGGCCGGCAGCTGTACGACGTTGGAATTCCTGGTCGGCGAGGAATATGCCACGCATCTCGATGAGGAACGTCACAGACTGGGTAAGGCCCATGGCGTTGCGCCCAATCTTGGCATCAGTACCAGCCTCGGTAAAGCTAATCTCAAAGTCGAGATCACGGCTTGAAGGCCCAGTGACATAGGGCTCCCACCGTAGACCAGCGTCCTCCATATCATTGCCGATGTTCTTGGCGAAGACTTCCTCGGACAAAGAGCGAATGTTCTTGTTGATGTTGAGGTTTTTAGCGGCGGAGAAAAGGCCGTCAGATCCGTGATAGTACCGGCCGTACTGAGTGGTAGCTCCATACTCGTGCATATCAATGATGACGTGTGGGTTGTATTCAGCCAGCAAGGCTTTAATATTGCGCGTCTGCTGACGGTTTTGTTTGATATGGTCACGGTTAGGATCGAAATTTGTTGCGAGAGCGCGTTGGAAATAATAGACTCCGTCGGGGTTGTATCGCGGGAGGATGACGATATCAACCTTCTCGAGTATGCCTGCGGCCCATTCGGGGTCGTTATCGAATTTGCCAAGGAGAGCAAGAAGAGCCTCATCTCCAGCTGGTTCATTCCCATGGGCTGCGCCCTGAACCCAAATGCGAACCTTCTCAGCAGCACTACGACGGCGGCAGGTAGAGTTGCCTGTGCCGGCGAGGTGAACGTAGGGGAATGAGCGCAGCTCTTCGGAGGTGAAGTTGGCTGTGTTGTGAGTCATGTAGCTGTTACGGCCTGCGATTTCTTCCATAAAGACCTCTGAGGTACTGTCAATTCGTCTTCACAATAGCGTGATCTGACAAGAGCTTCTTACCCATGGCCTCGTGGGAAGTTGGGCCCTCAGTACCCCTTGAGAACCCTTCGAGACGACTCCCGGGGTTGAGAAAGGCGGGCGAGTGGAGAGAAATATCGATATCCTTGAAGTTTGCAGCTACAATATCGGAGTCCTGGCGAACAGCAACATGGTTGTAACCGTACCTGGCAGCATCGGCGAAGGAGAGGAGCCCGAACAGGCCAGCAAGGGTGGAAGTCCGCATGGCGAGATTCGGCTTCTGAACAGAAGGCTCAAATCCACTGAAACGTTACTTGTCTATCACGGAGGCTCGCCGTCGACTCGGCAAATCAGCTGAACCGGGCACCATGGCTTATATAACTAATCGGTGTTGTATTGTCGGCGACGACCTCGGGAGCCGCCTTGGCCTCTCTCTTGAGGGCCGAAAATCAAGACACATTATGCGATGTCATCTCTCTAATACACTAAGTGGGCAGCTTGGTCGTCAAGGGCAGCGATCTGTGCGAGAGTTGGACACTGGGAGGGTGGGATCAACAGTCACTTTACGATTGAAAGCGTAGCCCAGCATTGGCAACGAAACTGAATAAGGCAGCTCAGCAGCAGCAGCTGAGGGGAAAGCGGGGGATAGTGGGGCGCTGTGACCGCAGCGTACCTTGGGGTCTTTACCTACCTACTTAGGTACCTAGGTCGGCACTCATGAGTGCCAGTAGCTAGCCGTCGAAAATGGTCCTAGGTATCTGGTATCCTGAGCTCGCTCTTCTCCTTGTTTCTCGTCTCCCATGAATGCACTGCAGTCGGAAAACTGGTTTTGATGAAGAAAGCCACTAGCCGGGTTGCCAAGAGAGCACGGGCTCCGATGACACCACCGACACCAACAACGTCATGTTAAGGGCCATCCGAGGGCCTTATCTTGCCCAGACGCATCATCTCAATCGTGCTTTCCCTATCTCCATGGTTTCTGAGCCCAGCTAGGCAGGTCACTTCTGAGCGCGAAAATCGTCAGGGGAATGTATTCGCCATCATATCTTGGCGGGGTAAAGGCGAAGTGACTGTTCGTGAAAACGAAGCGTAAACGGAGCAGAGCGGCGTGACGCAGATCACTTGCAAAAGCTGCGGTTTTTGGTTCTTCAGCACCTGCTTACTGTGTGGGCACTTTCCCAGTCTTCTCAGCCAATCTGAATGGGCCCTACCCAAGTCGGGGCTACGAGACAAGAAGCAATGACGCCATGGCGGAAGCCTCTGATAACAAAGGCACTCTCTACAATGCTGCCCTTCCCCGTGACTCAAACGGCATCAGCAGTACAAGAAGACCGGCAGCAATGAAAAGAGCACCACTTGTGTAGACGGGAGCCGACGTCTCAAGGTTAGCAAACATGGCGATGATGGGCTATTCGGTGTCAGTGATGACCCACACGTACGACAACACCCACTTACTGCCATGATGCCGAAAATACGATTGCAGGTTGCCGTCAAAGCATTACCCGTGCCGCGTTGGGGTGTGGGGAAAAGCTCTGGTGTGAATCCGTAGAGCACAGCATACATGACGTTACTGCAGAAGTTGAAAGCGCAATTCCAGCCCAGGAGTGCATTGCTCGTTACCGCCGTCGTTGAGCAGTACAGAAAGACACCTGTCAACACGGTGAACAAGGACAGAGTGCCCTTGCGACCAATAACCTTTCGCTCCACGAGCCAGCCTCCGAGCAATGCGCCAGGAACGCCGAGAGATGATATGATCAAGCTGTTGCGGTAGGTGATGTAGGTACTGCCGTCACCAAAATCGGCGCCCCGCGTGGCCTGGATGAAGGGAAGAAAGGCGTTGTACAGCGGGTAGCCAAGGCCAATGAGCGCCCAGATGGCCATAATGAGGCCAGTACTGAGCCCTAGCTTGCGTGTCGAGAAGAGAACACGAATGTGGCTAAAGTTGAGCTTTGAAGCATATCTCTTGGCCGCGGCAGAAACATTTGTCTGAGCAACATAGCCCTCAGGTTCACAAGCCTTCAGATCGGCTAGTGTTAGAGACGTTGTCTTGCTGTTGCGACGCGCGACTTCGTGAACGATACGGACGGCATCCTCATCGCGTCCTTTGCCCATGAGGTACTTTGGCGACTCAAAAATCTTGAAGGCGGCAAAACGAACCAGGAACATGACAGCTGTGATCCCACCCATGGTGATGGTAAACCATCGCCAGCCCATGTTGTCACTCTTACGACAAACAGTCTCTTGTTCGCACGTCAGATTTCCCAACAACGGCCAGGCGACGAGGTTCGCAACAACTTGTGCAATAGCCCAGTCGATAGAGAGAATGGTCAAGAGATATTGGTGAGTGCCAGGCAGGAATTCAAGGAAGATGGCTGAGTCGACGGGTAAGTTTCCACCTACACCGAACGACCAAAGCGCTGCAAAACTGCCGATGGCGGCAAAATTATTGGCACCACCAGCAACAAGGCCCCAGAAGGCTGTCAGGCCCAGGGTGCAGTTGAAGGCATGACGCCGGCCGAAGATATCGCACCCAAACCCCCAGAACATGGCGCCGGCAAGCAGGCCAATGTTCTGGGCGAGGGTAAGGAGAGGCGGCCGGGAGGGTCCGAATTCGTTGGTGATGGGTGTGAAGATGAGTGATGTCACAATGGGCCAGAGATTGTCGGCAGCCCAACCGAAACCAACAACAATAAAAAGCTGCCATTGATACCATCCCATCCCGATATCTAGAATCTGATTACAGTCAGTCACTATGTTCGTGAATCAAAGCACGGGAAAATGGCGTGGGGTAACATACAGCTCGGTTGAGAACGCGCGCCTTGGCTTCGTATACTGGATCTAAGGTGCCCTTGGGATAAATGGCCGAGTCGTCGGCTGCTGTGTCAGCCAGGCTCTCACCATGATGTCCGAAACGATCTCCTTGCGTGGGCGAGGTGCCCTTCGACTCAGGGTTGGCGTACGCGCTCATGATTCAGCGACCCTCGCAATTGAAAGCGGCGTAGGTTTCTTGAAGACTGGCAAACGCAAGGTTCGGAGTGGCGCATGGACGGGTGGGAAGGGTGAGAGAGAGCAGTGTGTACCTCTTTTCGTCTTCGAATGGTTTTAAACAGCACATGGCGACCTATGTTGCCAGCGGGCCGCCGACGGCCATTAATACTACGAACCCCCTCCCCCCCAAATGTACACAACAAGGTGCAGATGCTTCCTATACATGTTGCGAGGTTCCATGAAGGTGTGGTCTCTGGTGGAACGTCGACACCAGTAGTGATGGCGCCATCGGCGGTCACCTCTGTAGCGTGTTTTCTATTGGCCCTCCGAGGTATGGGCGTGCAGTGAGGGATCGGCAAACGGATCGCTAGTGGTTCATCGATGCGCCAGGTGTCCGTCTTCACGGCAGAAGCGTCGAGTTGGTGATATATACTAAGAGCGTCTAGGACATACTGTTCCGTCTTTGGATGCGACGAAAGTGGCGTTCAGCAGGGTTTGTTTGTTCGTAGGCTGCCTTACGAGATGAGATGGCCAGCTCCTGCCAGTCCGCGGGGTGTACAGTCCCGCAAGAAGGGGCGACAAGGATTGCGCTCCGCTAGCGCCCGCCCGCCAATGCTGTCAAGCTCTTGCCCAGAAGGTCAGCCCTGACGCTTGCGTTGCAGGTGGGCGTGCGATGGGCGTTGAGGCGCTGGCCAATGTACAGAAGATCATCGCAGCTCATACGCCACCGTGTTGTGCCGCTGGACTACCATGGGCATCGTAACTTCCTGTATTAATGACTGCTCCGGCAACCAACTATCAAAATTCAACCGTCATAGGCTGCGTTGCCATAGGGGAATGGCCCCTGTGTGTCCAGGGACCTCGAGATATTCGCCCCGACGCTCTTCATCGGCCTGAATGGATTCTCAAAACATGCGTTGCTAGAGGGTCTTGACCTGTACACTATGTACCCCGGAGGCACACGGCCCTGTCGCATCCTCTCCCTCTCCACTACCGGGGCCATAATATCATAACCCGCCTCTTGCTGGGCCCAGAGTTGCTGTTCTGGCGTCAATTGCCGCCTCAGCTCACCACATTCCACATCTCTCACGAACGCCGCCTCCCCATCAAAGTGTTGCCTCCTGTCGTATTGCACTCTCTCGTCGAAGTGAGGCCCATTTCTTAACTCAAAGCTGCCGTCGAGCCTCATGTCATTTTCGATCCGCAATTGATTTAATCGATCGAGCTCTTCTTCCATCGTTCGACGTCGCGTAATATCTCTAGGCTCGACTACACGTACGCCTGATCGAATGACATCTGGTCGTCTTCCAGATGCACCGAACACCCGATGCGCATAGCCAACGCCGTCCACGGCACGTCCTTCTAGTGCTTGTGTGGAGGCCCGACCTCTGGCCATGCCTGCACGATAAGCTTCGTCTGTCGCCAACCGTATTGCCGCTTGCGATGGCCCATGGTGGCTCGGCGGCTGTGTCGCATGAGAGATAGAAGCTACACCCTGCGCCACTGTGTCTGACAGGTATTGTCGTTCTTGCCGATGATGGCTCCGAGACGCCCCGATGCCGTAATCCTCCGGAGTTTCACGATGTTGATGAGAATGCCGCTTACGGTCTGGACTTTGGCTTCGGGTGCGGCTCCGACGCCCTCGGCTGCGACTTCTTTGGCGCCCACGACCTGTGTGTCGCGACACGCCGGAGAGAGATGATGATATGGGGGTATACCGAGATCCCTCACTGGAGCTACTCGAGAACGAGGATGATGTGGAAGGAGACCTTGAATGATTTGCTGCTGGACGGCATCGATGATCCGTTCCGGACGCTCGGTGGCCACTGGAATCGCGCATGTTGACGCTGTTATTGGGCTTTTTCTGCGCCACACCCTGTTGATGGCGTTGCCCAGCCTGCACAAATTGGCTCTGAGTCTGAGGTGAAACTTCAGTAGAAGGGCCGTTGTGCGGACTTTGCTGCTGTACGCCACCATGCTGTGCCACGGGCGGCCTAGGCGAAGCATTTGATTGTTGGCCCTGATCTCGCGCTTGGCCTTGCCCTGGCCCCAGTGGCGGTGCCTGCCGTTGTGCCTTTGTCTCTATGCGCTGGTGCTGAGGTTGAGCCAACGCCTGCGGGTGTATACGTGTTCCAGGCGGGCCACGTTGCGCTTGAGCGTGGGCCTGCTGCCGGGCGTAGAGACCCTGCGGCAGGAACATCGTTGCCTCGCTGGCATGTGTACGCTGTGTTGGCGGGTTCTGCTGTATCATCATGTCGATGGCATTCAGTTCGGGTCGAAGAAGTCGCTTATAAAAGGCAGTAATGGATAGCTGCTCCCGCTTGCGTTGTTCTCCCGGGCCTCTTCCTCGACTGTCCTGAGAAGCCGTGGCCTTTGGTCTCGTGGTGGCACTCTTGCGTCCATCTCTATAATCCCTATAATGCTTTGAATGAAGGCGGCTCTCGGCGGTGCACTTGTCGATTGATTTTTCCTTGATCTGAACCAGCTCATAGTAAAATCGCTGGTCGTGCTCACCTTCCTGGAGCAGCTGCAGGGTCTGGTCGAGGTGCAGTCGTTGGGCCGGCTCTAGGGCGTGCTTCTTCTCCCAGAGCTGGCGGTGTTTACGCTTCAATCGGAAGACTTCGCCCGCGGCGGCCTCCTTTGACATTTCAACTCTTGTCCTAGTTGCCTTTTCCCAGTTGGGCTTTCTACGGTTACCTCCCTCATCGACGTCTCCTGGATCATTGAGTTTTTCGAAGCGGAAGACCAGATAGTCGGCGAGATTTTCGCGATACTCAGCCTCTTTCTGGCTGTCATCGCGAATATCGGAGATTACGACATTAGTTTGGAAAGCCGGGGGGATCTTGTCATACGGGGGAGGGAGAGCAACCTGGTGCGGCGGTCCTTGCACCTTTTGCATTCTAGCCACGCCGTATGGGCGAGCAACGGCTGGGGTAGTTTGAACACCCTGTAGTGGCTGTACGCTTTCGAAACGGGGTCGAGCCGAATGCTGGGGAGATGAGCCGAAGGCTTGATTACTCCGTGGGTCAGCCATCGCTAGGGCCCCGAAGGTCGGAGGTTGCTTTCTGACGCTGGTGTGCGCGCGAATGAGCGTCGACTGTGAGGCTCAAGTCAATTCTAGGCTGGCCGAACGGGTTGCAGGGCAGGATTGGCTGTCAGTCGGTATTGAATACAACACCGACAACAGAGATACACTTTTGAGAGACTGAGTGTTGGTAAGGTGGAACAAATGTGAGGAGAGATAGCTTCACTTTCGTGAGAAGGTAGCTATCTAGAGTCTTCAAGAATGAAAGTTTATTTGAAGTGTATCTTCACTTTTGCTTGCTTTTGAAGAAGAAGAAGAGAATAGCAAGATAATCACTGTGAAAGGGCACGGTGAGGAGATACCGCCTTCTGAATATGTCTTCTGTTAATACGGGTCGCGGCCTAGAAATGCCACGTCCACGCCCAAGTCTGTCCCGTGGCATGCACGGGATAAAATGACATACCTGATTCGAGATGCGAAGTCCACCTTCGACTGAAATCGGATCTTGCCATAAGGCTCGAATGACACCACTTTGAGTTCCTTACAGTGGCTTTCAGGGGCGCTGTTTCGCATATGCTCTCTAGCTCACCGCCGATTTGAACCCACGAGTGAGATTCAACCGGCATGGGAGGACCGTGGATAAAAACTCAAGATGGCGCCAGTGAGCTAGGAAGGGGGCTGCGGAAAGGGGGCAGCGAACCTCCTTTCCTCCGCCATTGGTATCTGCCATTTGAAAGACTGTCGGGCCAAGAAGGCGTCTGGGGCGAACATGGTGTAGAACTGGGCCACACCATGCCACATCTTGAAGAGGACAGGCAAGGAAGTGTGGCTTGATGTGACAAGTATAATTCGTTGAAAACGAGGCAACTGGCTGCCTTGCATTGCCCAGGGATCCGTCTGACGCTCACCGAAACTCTGTCTCCTCTGTCGGGCGACCTCACAAGTCCTGGGTGCGGGTCTGGGCCCCGACTAACAGTCTCCCGGCATTGTGGTGTGGCACACTGCTCGGATGATTGGGGTAAATACTATAGGATTGAAATCGCTGAGAGGGAGTCATGGTCTCGGTGTACGCATTGCTCTGCTCATGCACAAGCTGAGGGCAGCGGTATGTCGATGACGGAGAAGATCACGAGCGGGGTTCAACCCCTCGTGGCTAGCCACCACTCCCGGATGTCGATTGGCAGAATTGCTGCAGCACTTTGACTCGCATCTTCGTGGACAGGCTGCAGTCCATAACGCTGGGGTGGTAAGAACGGCAGATAGAGGACTATGGCCCGTGACTCAGCTCATGGCGTTCATTAAACGCCGAAGTGTTGTATAGATTCCCTCGAATCACTGATGTTGCAGGTCACATCGACTCGCCAGAATCTTCAGCTGAGTGTGTCCATGCACCCACTGTACCCGATGGCCAGGCTACCCGCCCACCATAATGATAAGTACTAAGGTAGGCACGCAGGTAAAAACTCGGTCGACTTCCCAGCAAGGACTCTCGAAGTTATGACTTGTTTGCCCACTGACCTGCTCATCACCAGCCAAGCATATTATGAAAGATCAGCAATTGCTACAGGGCCACATCGACGTACTGGCAAGCGAGTTACTATCGAATGGGAGAAGCGACCCTACAAACTGACCTCAGTGGGGAACATGACTGGCCACGCGCGAAAAGGGCGAGCCTGTCAGAAGAAAAGCGTCGCTATGTTTATCGTGGATCCGAGGCGGGCGTGTGACTAAACAATTGCTCTCTAGACGGGCGTTGTGTACCACAGCCTGCAAGGATCAGACATGACGATTGGCACCACTGTTAGGCATGAGTGTGAGCCAAGCATGGCCGAAACTAGGTGTCGCATAGCTTCCATAACCTCGTACGGGTGTGTCCTGTACAAGGGTGACAAGGCTGGGTATACATACTCAGCGGCGCCACCGACCAGGCCACTGCTGCAGCGCCTATACCCAAGGCAATATGCCCTCTCTTCGTGTATAGGGAGGGTTGTCTGTGACTGTTCGGTGCAGGGCAGCTTCCCGTACCGTCAATCTAAACAGACACCAAGACAGAGAGCAAGGGGTTTGACTTTGTTGGTAGCCACATAGGCGATTGACGGGGTTCAAAAAGCGCTGCCTAGCCGGCGGGTGAAGCGGCAATGGCCTTTGTAAATACCTTGCGTAGTAGTGAGCGCACCGTCTCTGTAGTTGTGCGGATGCCACAGGTCGCGAGTCCATCACTGCTGGGCACCAAGCCGAGAGGATCTTTTGATCTACAGCCTACGCTCTAGGGTTACCTGAGCTGCATTCCCTTACCCTACAGCTCACTATCGTCTCTGATTCACGGGCTTGCGCATGAGCATCTCAACGTGAACCATTGACTGTAAGGCCATTGCCGCCGTAGCCAGGCGTCGTGGGAAGTGGTATGAAATGCCGCAAACAGGCGACTCCGCGTCGAAGCAAGCCGAACGAATGAACACACCGGTAGACGAAGATTTAGTTGATTCGCGCGCCTTGGCGAATGGTATCTCAAATGATGAATCTACCAGAGCAGCCGCTTCTAGAAGTGCCGTCGCTTAGGCTGCCAACTCGGGCACCTCTCGGGTCGTGTCAACCTCCCTGTACCGAGAGCGGTTCCACCGGCTGTAGATATTGCTTGAATGCGTGTGGCAAAACGTCGGTCGCCCGGTCCCCGTTTTGTGCTGGATCATCGTTACGCGACCAGAGACAGCCGGCAAAAGCAGCTGACGGCTTACACCGCAACAACCAGGAAAAAATCGCTGCTCAGGTGCCTGATGAAACCCTCACAACTCGGCTTTCGGATGACGAGGCAGGTGTGGCACCCATAGAAGGTCAGCCTTTGCAATCGGACTGGCCGCGACCCATGCAGCCTCCAGGTAGAGTCGGTCCAGCTCGTCACCGACCGTCTCGTTGTTCGCCTTGAGTTTCAGCCAATGTTGATTTCGTATGCGATCATCAGGAATCCACGTATTCGAACCGTTGGCATGAACATGGTTATAGCCATAGTCGTTGCCGTACTCAAACATGTCACCCAAGCCTCGAATGGCATAGAGTACAGAAATAGGATCCCATGACTGACGTGGTTGACCGTAAGTATAGTAAATGTAGGCGGCTCTCACCGGATCGCCTACAGGGCCGTCAGCCATGAGACGCAATCCTGACGTGACGTTTTGGCCGAGCTCAAAGCCAGAAAAGACCATGCGGCCCGTAAAGTCGTTGACGACATGCGCCGTAGCCAATGGATCGTCGCCCCAGAAGTTGAATTCGCGCCCGCTCGGATATACCCCTCCCATGATGACCAATTCCGACACCTTGGCGGAAAGCAACTCCGGCCCTGTGAGTTCAGAGTACCCGTCGGCAGGCGAGTCAAGCAGAGCAGCGAGGTTGGCGAAAAATCCGAGAGACACAACGGTCACGCTGCCATCCTCTGAAGCCGCAAGTGTCTTACGGTAAAGGTCAACAGGGTCCCAAGCGCGGTGAGCCTGGCCCCAAGGAAGAGAGCCACCAGACCAATGATAAGCAATCTTGCTAGTAAACTCGCCGAATTCAAACCCCCAGGAGTCGAAAAACGTGTCGTTTGTCTGAGGTCGTCGGGCCCCTATGGGGATGTTTGCTTGACCATAGTGCGCTAAAATTGCAGAAGCGGCAATGGTAGAGTACGATGAAGGCGAATTGACATTGACAGCCAATAGTCTTATGTCTGGCGAGGCCGCTGCCAGGAGTAATGCAGCAGCGTCACTATGCATGTCAGCCGTTCGTCTTGTTGACGCCCAAGAACGAATCCACCTACTCGCAGTCACTGAATAGGTCCGTGTCAAGGATGAGATTTTTTCGAGCCGCTCCCAGAGAGTTCAAGAATATCAGGCTGGCGGCCGCAATGGCCAAGAATGATGAGTACATTTGCAGCGTGAGTTGTCAGATTTTCGAGCCGCCCGACAGCATCGAGATCAGCTGGTGTCCTGAGATGTTTAGAGTGGAACGGTGATCATGGTGAGTCAAGTCCGCTGGTGACGCTGTTGGCCAGAATATAGCATTTCAACCCCAGAGGTAGGTGGAGTTGAGGCTAAAGACAGATTATCAAGGTAAAAATACTCAGACGCGACAAGTGCCAAGTCGCGAAATCGTGAAGTGCCTCACGCGCGTCTGTAGTGGGGCTTTGTCATCAGGGATTAGTGTTGTCCGTCTGCAGCCTTGTGCTGGTGTCCATTGCGGGGAAGGCTACCGTCGGGTGTGGTAAGTATCGCGGTGGGGGCAAGTACCTCGACCTCGACGAGGGGTGCAGCCGTGATTTTGTGTTGACAGCTGGCTGCCAGGCCTCACGCGGAGACAGCTTGTACCTGAAAAGTTGCCTGTGGCACAGCTGGGGGGGTGAACTGGTGGGTCTTGACGTGGGTCCTCTGCGAAACTTCGGCCTGCAAGTATGTAGCGCGTGGGCCCTACATTTGGCGGCCGACGTCCCACACACCCCCTCAAGCCCAGATGGCCAAGACGGCCATGGCGGCGACTCCCAATCCCACACACCCGAACGCAAACAACTTCACGCTCAACGGCTCCCGACTCATGCCCGAGTGCAACAGAAACTCTCGCCCCAACAGCTCCACCATCCCTGTGTACAACAGGATCCCCCCACTGATGGCTCCGAAGACGCCCGTCATGATGAGTTGGATCTCGGGGCTCTCTGGCTTGGCCATGAGCCCGACAGCCACCGCTAGCGGCGACGATATGCCGAAAATGACGGCGAGTACATACGGCCACCAACGTCCATGCGGTGGCCATTGCGCGACCGCGAGTCGAGAACCTAAATCGAGGCCTTGGAAGAATTGATGGCAAGCGAAGATAACCGTCAGTGTAATGAGATTGTTCGTGGTCGAGAGGATGAGGCTGATGAAAACGCTATGGAACGTGAATTCGAACTCGAGGACAAGTAGGGCTGTGAGCTGTCCTCGCATATTGAAGTTTTTGTCGTGACTACTGCCTTGGCTACGCGACGTGTCAAGGTCGCTTGTCGGATGAAATCTCCTGTGGTTTGGATCCATTTGGAATATCTGCGAGAGGCGAACGTCGCTCAACCCTGATCTTCTGTTGGTATGGCTGACTATGATGTCTTGCTGTTCACTGACGCTTTCCGTGTCGCTACTGGATATGCTTTTCGAGAGGACATTCCGCCCCGAACTGCAAGGAAGAGAGCCTGAGTCGAAGCTCGATGCGATCGTTTCGATGAAGACCAGAAATACGACCGTCATGAGACCGATGAACATAGGCCAGTCATATTCACCAAGACGGGGGGCCAGACATTCGTTTCTTAACGCTTGAATGGCGGGAGAGAGAAGATGTAGCCATGCCGTGGCGATGATGACCCCGGTACCCGTAAAGCTGAAGACGAAAAAAATCCATGTGAGGACAATCGTTCGTGGTCGACGTGCGAGGAGCAAAGGTATCAGCGCGCCGAGGAGAGACCCTACGAGCAGGATAATCATGGCGATGTAGCGTATGACTTCATGGTGTATATCGACATGGGCCTCGCCGCAAGTTTGGCTTTCGTTTGATAATGGTGCTGCTGCTGTTTCGTTCACATAACCATGCGAAAGGTCATCTTGGTGGAAGTCCATTTCGACAAGTCAAGTCTTTGGTGAAGTTCCCTGGTCTGGCAAGCGGTGGTTCACCAATCGCCTCACTGTGAGCGACGGCTTCACTGACAATGTCGACATGCAGCTGGTTCTGGTGGGTGTGATGTCGGAAGGTCTACGGCCAACATTAAGGAGTAGAGGAGCCAGAAGACAGGCTCTGGGCATCAAGACATCTTGAGGGCTGGATCCGTCTTAGCACGCATGCCGAGCTTCGAAGAGAACCTTCCACAGCCTTGACATACTCCAATCCTGTGGGAATGTTGATGTTTTAGAGGCTTCCGAGCTCGCCATCCCGTCTCGTTCATCGCGATTACGATGGCTGGACTCGGGATCATCACTCCAGCCGCCGAATTGATGAGATGCTGACGCAATACAAGTCAAAGTCAGTTGGAACGGAGCTCAGTCGGCGATATACTTAGCCCTGCGCGCCAAGCCCTGTCAACAACGTTAATAGAATATGCCATCCCCTATCAACACGCGAGACAATTGTCTCGCGCCCAAGGAAGTTCATCTCTTTCCTTACAGTGCCTGGTCGACGTTGTCCATTGGTAGGAGAAACAACAACAGGCAGCTAGGGAAAACAAGCTTCGGCAATCAAACTTGGTGCCTGTGCCCAAGCGGTTTGTTGTGAGACACCAGGGTGCTTATCGAAAGGGTCTGAGGGATGGTAAATGAGGAGTGGTGTGACATAAGTGAAGCTGAGACATTCTGCCGGACTGCCGGACCCTTCGACACAGGAAATAATAATGCAGATCAAGAAATGGTATAAGACTGATGCAGACGCCTCATCCGTACTCACCGGTGGCCGAGATCACATGCCGACATTGGTGAAGTGATACGACCCCTGAGTAGTACGATCTCAAGATGTTACTCTTGATCTCAACTCCGTACAACGTACCCCGCCCCTCTCTTCTCTCCTCGGCACCAACCAAGTGCAGGTCGACATGGCTCCAAATGACATGTCGCACAGTGAGTGGCATTGGTTGTAAAACAAATCGATGGACATAAAAATCGAGATTGACTGCCAATAATCTGCCGAGTGACCGCAGATCGGGATCAAGAAACAAACACGGCGCGGGAGCTTGTGGTCGTTACAGTCAAGACTCGGCTCAAGACATGAAAAAGACCTCATCTGGAACAGATGTCTTACACTGGTGAATACCATCCAATGCTTTTGCTGAAGGCCTAGGCAGGTCTTCACACATACACATAACACAACGGCTCTCCACTGAGGGTGTTGATGAAATGTCCAATAGTAACGTCTTTCGCCAGCACGCCCACGAAGTTGGTATCTTCCTTGACTGCGTTCCGGCTGGGGGTATTGTTCAGGATCGTAATGATGCCCGCAACTTGGTCCGCCTGCAACGAATGTAGCGTCTGCCAGATCCAATACAAATAATCTATCATGGCATGGTGGAGGAAGAAGGAGGGGTCATTTGGCAATGAGAACTGGTCAGTCGCCTCGCCACCGATAGCAGCATGACCAGCAGCGTGCATCCCCCCAAAACCACCCGAAAACCGGCCCTGGAGTTCATTCTGGAATGAGAGGATGGTATGGCTGGCGTCACCCACAGTCATGGTGATGAGATTATTTGCGGTCATCCACTCTATGAGCGTATAGGAATTCAGGTCGCGTCTCAAGCAACGGGGGTTGTAAGCGAATTGACCTTCAGGGTTTGCCTTAACGCCGCTTCTGCCAGGTCGGATGGGCCCGATGTTGATGGTCAAGCTAGAAACAAGTTGGCAGTGCCGTAGTGGTTTGATGGGTACAAATTGGAATATCGATCTCACTTGGGCAGAGGGCCAGTCGTGATGCAGCCGCCGCTGTCACCCGAAGGGATTTTGACAAAGTCCATGCCAGCCGTGCTGCCATGTTGTTCCCAAAATTTACCGTCACCGCCAATGTTGTATTCGCTGCCGTCAAATAAAGGGATTTTGGTCGGATTATCTCGATACTTGAACCAACTCCAGTACTATGATCTGGTTAGCGGATGTCTCGATGGCAAGGAGGGGATAGGGAGGGACTAAACTACCGGTTGGTATCCCGCGTACCCACACTCGTCGCTCAGAGCCGTCTCGTACGAATGGATAAAGTACCGGTGCCATGTCAAAAAGCTCCTTACGACGATGAGCACCAGTATGATTCAATTAAACCTGAGGAGTAGCACGTACGGTCCCATGAATGCTCAATGTCTGGTTGATGTGGATGGCTACAAAGTCATCATATCGAGTGCGAGCACCAGGAACAGTCGCAGAATGACCTTTGACGGCCTAGTCAGGAGCTATTGAACTGCGCTGATATATGCTTCCTTCTCGCGGAGACACAGACCATCCCTTCATGTATAGTCAACCTCAACTTGATAGATGATGAAGAATGATACCCTCGAACGTTGTGACGGGGCTTGCTATGGGGTGCAAAAAAGAGGAATCACTGACCAGTGCTTGCGTACATTGGCATTATGAAGGGAGCAGCCCTCGACGGAACGCTCTGAGCCTTCTTCGGCCCTCTCCAGCGCCTCGGTAGACTGGTCGTTGAAGCCTCGGAGCAGCTCCGCAACACCAGGAGTCTCAACGGCATCGCCCGTTGGTGTCAAAACTGCAGCACTCAAAGCTGCAAGTAGGGTATGGTAATAGGGAGAATATATGACAGAGGCGTTTGGAAAGGTATAAATAACTGTAGGGACGACTTGTTATAGAGTGCTTGAACAACCACATGGCCTGTATTCGTTTCCTGTACAGAAGAGATCCGCTGGGGCTGGGGCTGGGAGCAGTTGGAACACAAATACACCTTGGTATCACTGTACCGTGCCTTTCGAACGCATATTTATATATCTAGTCGTTCATTCAAAGCCATATAGCTGCTAGTTGGAATACCTACGTGTACGGTTTGGCTTATTTGGCGAGGCGCAACCTCGTACCGGCGCCTTGGCCGAGGAGAGCACATGAGCAAGCGATCATATTTTGATGCGTTAAAATAAGGTGCGGGTCGACCTAAGTCTCAAGGTGTGAGTTGATCATTCAAGTGAGAAGGAGTAGTAGTTATAAAGGCCAGCTGAATCATGATTGGCGTGATAATATACGGGCTGCCTGAGGGCTGTCAATTCAACTTCACGGTGCAGGCCGGCGTTCCAGTCCAGTGTTTCATCCAATACAAGATACTGTTCCCCACCTCGTTTAAGACCCGAAGCCATCCAGCCTGGTAATCGACTAGCAGAGGCGATCAGGCAGGTGGAAGCAAGGGTATTGCGGAGAGATGATGGCCAACGGCGAAGCCCCACGACGGCACTTCGCCACGGCTCTCTCCACTAGGTGTGCTGCGAGTAGGTAGGTATGCGGAGGCAACCTTGCCCACATTTTGCTGGAGGTTTGAACCTATTCCCTACCTACCTTAATGGAGGGCGAGGACAATAGAGGCATCGGCAGTGGTCCGCCTGTCGAAAGGTTGCGAAGCCGAAAGATAGTTCCGTAGCCAGCCCAGGCTTGGTTGAAGTCGGAAATGACGAAGTAGATAGTCGGCAACATCGAGATCCAATTCATTGGGAATGTGAATCTCTCAATGTGGCTTAGGTCCTACTACCCAGGGCCAAATCAATGCGTTCTGATGGCCCCGAGTCATATCTGTCGCGGCGGCATCTTGTTGGCTACCTACCTAGTTAATTAGGTGACTGGCAAGGTTGAGGTGACATCTTCTCGTCCCAAATAAGGGGCGCAGGCATGGCGGTCGCGCTCCATCCTCCGGCCAGACGCCGAGAAGCATTGTAAGGCCTCATGACTACCAAAAATAAACTGCGGACGACATGTCGTTGAGGCCTCTTTATCGTACCCACAGACGATGGGGTCTGGGGTTGGTAGCCACGTAAGAGTTCTTTTGGCGATCATTGCCATTACTGAGGCTGTTTAGTTCTCACAACCAGGTTCGAGCCGTTTTCTATCCCCGTGATGAGCGTGACTCGATAAACTCGGCTATGGTGGCTGCAATGTAACTGCCGTTAAACGCGGTGGGATGCTGAACCCACTCGTCTACGGACTCTGTCTCGGCGACTTGCTGTCTGCCCCTCCCCCCACCGCCGCTTGACCCAGGTTACGGCCGCAGAGAGCAGCGCTCTAGTGGTAGGTTATGTGAACGCCTCAGCCGTTTCCGAGGTACCGTTTCGGTGGTGCGTCATGTTCAGGTTAATATGAGATCCTGGCTCGGATGACCTCACCTTGCCTAGAGGCGGCGGACGGACGCCGTGGATGCTCACGCGCGCGGCGCGGGTAGCCATGAATATCGTTAGAGCGGTTGCAAGATCCGTTTCGGTCAAGTTAAGAGGTAGAAAGTCCTTCTCTGCAGTTGCAACGCCGAGCCTAGGATTGATGCCAGGCCCGCAGCCTGGCTGTTGAGCAGGTCGCGGCACATGACATCGCAGCAAACGGTACAGAGTGCGCCCCACGATACAAAGTGAACTAGCGCGTCACTGCAAAGCTGAGGGCCTCCCATGGCAGTAGTCCAGGAGTGATGTGGTTGATCAATATCTGCATGGAGAAGCGCATGTGCCATTGGTAACAAGAGCAGTGATACTGGGGGCGAGGAGACGGTTCTGCGTCGGAGGAAACAAGAAAATTGCGCCTCTGCAAGAACGGCCAATGGCGATTCACAGGTCTTGGGGGGCTGCAGATATTTTAAACAGCATCGCCGGTTGTGCTACTCCCAAGACGAGGTGATCGTCGGCGAGGAAGGACATGGGACCGGGGAGGGCGGGCTGTCGAGAGGAGGAAGGGGGCGTTTGCTTGGTAGAATGCCACGCGTGACTGCTTGTGAAACTTGGTGCCAACCAGCGATCTTCTTCACGACCGAGGCGAGCTCGATGCGCAATGAAAATGAGAAAAAAGACACGCCTGTCAGACGTCCGTCAGCACCCACCCCGTCTGCGCGCCCAAAGGCAAGACCACAAGACAGGGACGAGATCATCAAACGCCCTCTATACAGCTTTCCAGAAGGAAGAGCCGCCACCTTTGCAGGCAGTGCGAGGGCAACCAGAGCCATTCACTCTAGGGTGCCGAGGATATCAATCATCAACCAGGGTGGGATCTGTGGCTCTTTTGGAGAACCCAGAGTAGGTCGAATACTATAGAAATGATTCTCCTAAGGAATGGGTTAGCTACCGTCTTGCGAGGCTGTCATGTGTAGGCGCTGGTGATGCTCCTGGTAGGGGGTGGCTTACTGAAGTATTGTCGACATGAAGAAGAAAAAGGGAAAAGGTAAAACGGGCAGCCAGCGGCGACATCTTTATAGGCGATCTGAGGTGCCGACCCACTCGTGGCCAGCCAGCGTACTTGGCCAATCAAGCTTACAGCATCCACATTGTGGGGGCCTCCTAAATGAGAATTTTCTCCCACTGGGTCTCCCTCTTTGTGCACGTGATGTCGGGTGAACAGCGTCGTCCAGATGTGTTTGTCGAGTTGACCTTTGCTCCCGAGCTTGCTGCTGGAGGTTTCCCCTTGCATGTTATTTGCACAACCTCCTTTCTTTCGGGTGATGTGTTGTTGTTGAATGCAAATGCTTGAGCGGAGCTGAAGCTGGAAGACTTCAGTATCAGACACACTACACGTGAGCGATCAGTCAGTCGTGGCACCAAACGATTGCCTCGCAAACGACAGAGGGTTGCCTTGCTATTCAAAGTGTCTTTCATGAATTATGGAAAGTAGTCCTGTGAGGTAGCTCTATGTTGACGGACCTAATGTTCGCGTCCTGGCCCCCGAACCATGGGAATTAGTAGACCCATCAATTGTGCCTTTTTTACTGATCAACATGTGTGTCAGTCGATTGTAATGAAGATGACGATGACGGCGCTCCAGTCGAACACGACATAGATTGGTCGCGAACTGGATGCCTTCTTATTTCGTCTACAAGGTTGGATTCTATGTTGTCAAGTTTGACTGCCTATATTGTCCGTGGACAACAAACAACGTGCAGATTCTGCGTCGTCCAGCCATCCTTATCACCTCTTGTGCCTGGCCTCCTTCTCCTGCCTATGTGCCTTCACAGCCGCCTCGTCCTCTGGCGTCACCTTGATCGGCTCCTCTCCCGTCAACATCCTCACGAGACGGATGTAGTGACTCGCACCCAGCGCTGTCAAGAAATGCCACCAGCCATGCAGCTCCAAGCCCCAGCTGAAAGGTATGCCCACCTTGTCCCGCAGGGCCCTCAACCCGAGGCACAGCTCCAGATCGACGTTCCACAGCGCGTACCCTGCCAGCAGAGCCCAGCCGGCGCGCGCAAAGCTTCGCATCAGCACCCTCTTCTGCGCCCCCGAATACCCCGTCTTGCGCACCAGATATAGTGTGCGTGGCCAGATGAACGTCAGCAGCGTGATGAAGGTCCACATGTGGATGACGATGCGGCCGCTGCGGGCGTAGATGACGGACACGGTGCCAATGCCAAAAATCAGCGTCAACGCGACGAGCACGCGGCGAAAAGGCGTCTGGTTCAGGGCGTAAATGGGCTGGAGGAGGGCACCGGCAAGGAGGAGCATGGATAGGTCGTCCATGAGCTGAGGCACCTGACGCATGGTGCCGTGGAACATGGCGGACGTGACGCCGACGCAGACGAGGGAGAAGGCCATGAAATCAATCTTCTGATACCATGGGGTTGCAGGATTGGCACTCTTTGCATAGCGGAAAGCATAGTAAACTACAGCAGGTCAGATGGAGGATGGTCTCATCTTGGGGTAGAGTCGGCACAGACTATAAGATAAGTTGGTCAGGGTGTTGATGAATTCGGCTATGTAGCTTGTAACGGCATAGTCTTCCTCGCAGAAGCTGGGCGATAATCAGTATGCTTCTGAGGGGCCCTGTTGGCACGAGATGGACCTACTTGGCCACACTGGTCGGAGTGCCCCAGAAACCTGAGTCGGCATTCGGATCGCCAACGTAACGAATATTGTGGTGGCCCATGGCTAGAAATCTGGAAGCGACCGGATTGGGGGAAAGGGGGTGAGGGGGGGGGGAGTGCTGTGAAGTGAAGTGGTAAGGTAAATTGATTACAGGTCGCGGAAGCGCCTCTTGCACTACGCGACGTCGGTCATTTGGCTTTGCGTATGCACTTCCTTCTACTTCCACCTGCCCTGCCCTGTTTCAGTCCGTTGTTTTCACGCAGAGCCGAGGATACAAAACTAGGCCGACTGGTGCCACCTGGGTGACGTAGGGAATTTGTACACACCTCCTAGGTAAGGGTCTGCAAGGGAGGGGACGAGGTGGAAACACTCCGAGACAGATTCTGGACGTTGTGCAACTTGTTGCTCACTGTTTAACAATAATTCATTTATCATGTATTTCATTACTACTAAGTTTATTTGATTGCCCCAAGTGCCGATGCGCCAGATTCCCAGCATCGTTGCCATATCACCGAAAACGCCTACCAGTTCTTATTGCAGAATCATCTCTCCATCAAGCCGCCGGCGTCACGGCAGCAGGTGCCGTGGGGCTCGCCGTGGCAGGAACCTCGTCCACGACAAGGTCGCCCGCCAGCAGGTTCTCCGCAATCTTGGCCGCCTTGCCCTTGCGATCAGTGTTGTTGAGCCACTTCTCGACCTTGCGCTGATCAGAGGGCGAGAACTTCTTGGTCGTGGGCGGCAGGACTTTGGTGCATTCGGTCAGCTTGTTGATGTTGTTGACGCCGAGGAGAGACAGTCGGATGTATTCGCGGGCGTAGTCTTCGTTCCAGTGGTTCTGTCCGCCGCCACCAGAGAACTCCTTCCACTCCTTCTTCGTTGTAGGGTGTTGCGAAAGCTTAATATCGCTGGGGAAGCGGAACACACGCGCTGGTGCCTTGCCCGTTGTCTCAGGGTAGAACTTAACGTCCCAAACGCCGGGTGTGCTGTCCTGAGGGTCACCAGCGCGGGATTCGTTCACGAACATCTGCTGGCTCGTTGTGTGTGCGCCGACAAGGGCGACGAGGCCGTGCGGGCCGATAGTCTTGTCACGGAACAGCGCGATCAGGCTGTCGGCATCCGCATTGACGTCTGGCAGGAGGTTGTCGGGAGCGGGCGTGGCGCTGTCCCTGCGGCCAACATAGGTCTTGATGCGGGGGCCAAGAGGGCATGTCACGGTGGCAACGTTGGCGCCCATCTGAATGAGGTCGGCCATGCCAATGTCCCAACCCTGCCCTCGGTAGTTGTCGTACATTTGTTGGAAGCGAGCGCCCATCTCCTGCAGACCATTGTTCTCGGAGCGATCCAGCTCGCTCTTGCTGAGAATGATACTGCCGTCTGCACCATTGCCTTGGCTGGCTGTAGACTTGGACCAGCCGGCGGCGTCGTGGAATCCCATGCGGACGGCAAAACGGGCCCACTTTGTGCAGCGACCCGACTGGCCAGCCATGAAGCCATACATGTCTTTGGCGATGTAGCTCCAAATGCAGCAAGTATCCGCCTTGCACGCTGCCGAGTTCTTGGGGGGAACCTTTGTGTACTTTTCATTGGACTCAGGATTGCCCTTGCCGGTGAGCAACTTCTTGATATCCTTGCCAACATTTGTGAGATCTTTGTCCTTGAGAGTGACAAGGTCGCCGAGGAGCTCTGTTGAGTCGCCCTCATCTGCCTGTCGTGACATGATCTCGCCGAGGGCTTTACCCATGCCCGGGTGTCCGAGCACGCCCGGCACAGAGGCCAGGGCTACTGTTGTTGTCAAGATGGTAGAAAGATGCATGGTGCAAATGAAGTACTAAGTGGTGGCAGGCTGGGGCATATACCAGCGTAATGACTGATGACAGTATTTGGTGCGTTGCCCGTTCTGGAAGATGGGGGCGTAGGAGGTGGTTTACTGATCAGGTGAGGATGGTGATGATAGACACTATCCCCGGAGAGTTGAGGCTGGTGACTTGCTCTTTATATCTGCCCGTCCTCGAACATGTCGATAGCTGCGTGGACATGAGAGGCTTGACCTCGCGTGGTCGAGCCCATCAGCCCCGAGGCTTACAAGCGAGCTCAATCCCCTGTCGAGCCGCTTGTCGACCGGCAGTCGCCTGACGCTGTCAGGGGTATCGAGACGGCCGTTCCTTTCTCTGGAGTGTATACACATCTGCCAGAAGCTAAGACTGCCAGCCCCGAAAGGTCGTTCCCGGCTACCTGGCTCAGGCCTCGCCAGTTACTTGGCTAGGCACAAGGCCCACTCCAGGGACCAAGCCGAAGAACAAAGGACGGGAAAGGAACCTCTTGCTGATCCCGAATTAGCAGACATGACTCTGGTTGGACCCCTTTCCCTCCGGACAGGGGTTAGAGCACCCGGGGTAGTGCGATGCGCCCTGGCGCGGACGGAATCAATCCCCAAGAGCGACTTTGTCGATTGTTTGTCGATTGGCTAAAGCCAGTAACTTTTTGTATGCCCCCCCCCCCTCTGAGTGGCCACCCACCACATAGTCTCGTATTGCGGGCATGGCGGGCCTGGGCCTGAAAAGTCTCCCAGTCAGCACTGGGCTGCAGAGAGGTAAGCTTCGTTGGCTCCGCACCGATCTGACTGGAGCCACATGGTTATTGTGCCGCCCTTTTCGCTGGCCTCACCGACTAGCTGGCTCGATGAATGACTGCACAGGCAGGGGAGCGAGTCGAGATGGTGCCCAGGGCGTCTAGGGCTGGACCATGATCGTCGGAGCTATCGAGCGCCATGGGTGAGGTGGCAGGGTGGCAGCCCGGATGATCATGAGCAAGCTGTGTGCTAAAGGCCGTTGGATGACCACCTGAAGGAGACGGAGGTGCGCATTGTCGCCGTTAAGCCATCCGAGCGTGTCACTTTTCGATCGTATGGCATGATTTCTTCTGTCCTTCTGCACGACAGTTACGAAGTGAGATGCAGGTCCGGCGTGTCACCAAGAGTCGCTCACCGGGCGCGCGCAGTGCCTACGACTGGGTTGAGCGGAGACTTTGGAGGCACCAGGGACGGTCAGCTCAGCTGCCTGACGGTCACCACACATCCCGCACTCTCAGCTGATTATGCTGCGAGAATGGTCAGAGAGCCACAAAAAGCTAGAAGCCAGGAGCCAGGAGCCGGGTCCAGATCCAAGACATGTCTTAGAGAACTGGCCACCCAAGGTCCTGGGAAACAAAGAGCCCAGGCTACTGGAGACCAACAGTCGAGGTGGGGAAAACAAAGAATGACCCTGGGGAAGTCCTTTTTCGACGAGCCTCACGTGCTGCGCGTGGCAGAAATACAGCGTCTGTAGCTGAAAGCTCCCACAGCGAGGATCGCCCAAGTCGTGCTAGTCTTGCATGCCTGTCACATCCGAGGCAGCCTACCCTGACGTCGGGCACTTTGGGATAATGTAACCCTCTTCCCAGGCCAGTGGGAAGGGTATCGAGGCTCGGCAATAGACATAATCGGGTAGTCCGGGGAGGAGAAATGAACATGCTGTGGGTTCTTTCTGGTGGTCGGCAAGCGACAGAAGGAAAGTCAGCTCGGTACTCGTTGCAGTAGCCTGGCGGGCTAGTCCGAACAAGGAACGATGAGGCGAAGGCTGTTCTGATTGTGGTAAGGACGCCTGAGGCTAAGCCAATGGCATAGACCATCTTGGTCATCAATAGTACGGGGCTGAATGACAGGATTCGGATATTGAGGTCTACCACGAGAGGCAAACGATGTGATGCTGGCTGGATGCTCGACCCTGACGCTCTTTCCATGCGCTCCTTGGGCGGGCCATGTCGATAGGTAAGAGCATGTCGAGTGATGAGGCAGTTCGCTTCAACTTGTATGCCACGCTATTACAGGCTGACTTAAGAAGGCGGCTGAAAAGGAACATGCATGACACGTAAAAGATAGATAAGCCGGTCTGCTCGATTGTGGGAGTATCATTTTCGGTCGTTCACGTTGCGTTCACGGCACAGCTGGGCAGCGGGACTCGAAGATCAGATGGACTAGAGGAAGTAAGTGGAAGCACAAGCCCATGAGTGGCTAGCAGGCCATCTCGTTGTGTACCTACCTACCTTGATGAGTGTGTGGTGTGTGACTTCGGGCGAGAGTTGGGGTGGCGTGGAAAGATGGTCTGGGCGAAACGTAGCCAGGTAAGGTGGTACCTACGCAGCACGGGCTTCTCACGTGCTAGAGAGTTCCGAGTGGCTTCTTCTGGGCCCAAAACCCCGTTGAAAGGGCTGCGGAGCTGAACAAAGAACCTGATGAGGTCAATATGCGGAAGTACTTGGCCATGCCTCGTCCGAAGTCGACCTCCAGAGACTTGGTAGCAGGTCTCGACCAGCACCACTGAACTCTCATGATCACTGATCCTTCTGATCCGCATAACTTTCTTTCCGCTTTCAGAAGAGTCAGGCGGTTCCTGAGCAAGGACTTCCTCCTACGGCATGGCATACATCCATTTTGTGCACTTCTGCGTCGTCCGATTGGAATACCCAATGTCCGCCGATGAGTCGCCAGGAACTACCTCAACATGACGGAGGCGCAGAGTCAGAGGCACGGCTGTCGAAGAACGCCTGAACACCAATTGCCTCGCATGGCGAGGGTCAAGCCGTGAGCCGTGATTGCCGGTTAGCTCTATGGCACGGACACGATTGAACAAGTACATACGAGGCTTGAGTGACAGCGGCTGGCCGAAAATCGTTGGCTCTCTGACTTCAACTCAGACGCGCTCGCGGAAGCCACGCCATTGCTGTGCAGAGACAGCCGTCGAATAAGTCCGCACCCTCGAGTCACCAGGTCTCACGAGGAACCACATGCTTAATGCCTTTGACGAAGATCGACATGTCATGCTTCCTCCATCTCTTCTTTGAAAGGACTATAATCTCGGCAGACTGTCAAATCTCAACTGACAATGCGTCCCTGAAACGAACCCGTCTACCTTAGACCGACATAAGCTTGATTGTAGCCCCATCGTCGCCGAAACCTGTCTGCCAACCACCGCGTGCCTCGACCGCCCCATTGCTGATCACTCTCCACTGCTTCTCAGTTCGCGA